CCGAATGGGACAGTGGGGACCCAGCAGGGTTTTTACCTTCATCTGCCGGGCGATCTCCCTCTTTTGGTGCAGGATGTACTCCAGGATGGCCTCCTTCTCGTACAGGTACCCGTCGGGCCTGGCGGGGGGGAGACGGGGGGGCTGAGACAGACCCCCCCACACACCCAGGGCTTGTCTTGCTACTGGGGCCGCACCAGCTCGGGGATTATCTGCCTGCTCAGAGGCTGCCAGGGGGGGGGCCGGGGGTCTGAGCAATATGCAGCTACTAAGACCCAGAAGAGCTGTCTCCTCTTTCAGGGTGTCTCTACACCCCTGCCAGGACCCACGAGGGCTGGGGAGAGAAAGGGGGTCTCTCCACACAGCTGACAGGACCCACGAGGGCTGGGGGGAGAAAGGGGGTCTCTCTACACAGCAGCCAGGAGCCACAAGGGCTGGGGAGAGAAAGGGGGTCTCTCCACACAGCTGACAGGACCCACGAGGGCTGGGGGGAGAAAGGGGGTTTCTCCACACAGCTGCCGGGACCCACGGGGGCTGGAGAAGAAAGGGGGTCTCTCCACACAGCTGCCGGGACCCACGGGGGCTGGAGAAGAAAGGGGGTCTCTCCACACAGCTGCCGGGACCCACGGGGGCTGGAGAAGAAAGGGGGTCTCTCCACACAGCTGCCGGGACCCACGGGGGCTGGAGAAGAAAGGGGGTCTCTCCACACAGCTGCCGGGACCCACGGGGGCTGGAGAAGAAAGGGGGTCTCTCCACACAGCTGCCGGGACCCACGGGGGCTGGAGAAGAAAGGGGGTCTCTCCACACAGCTGCCGGGACCCACGGGGGCTGGAGAAGAAAGGGGGTCTCTCCACACAGCTGCCGGGACCCACGGGGGCTGGAGAAGAAAGGGGGTCTCTCCACACAGCTGCCGGGACCCACGGGGGCTGGAGAAGAAAGGGGGTCTCTCCACACAGCTGCCGGGACCCACGGGGGCTGGAGAAGAAAGGGGGTCTCTCCACACAGCTGCCGGGACCCACGGGGGCTGGGGGGAGAAAGGGGGTCTCTCCACACAGCTGCCGGGACCCACGGGGGCTGGGGGGAGAAAGGGGGTCTCTCCACACAGCTGCCGGGACCCACGGGGGCTGGGGGGAGAAAGGGGGTCTCTCCACACAGCTGCCGGGACCCACGGGGGCTGGAGAAGAAAGGGGGTCTCTCCACACAGCTGCCGGGACCCACGGGGGCTGGAGAAGAAAGGGGGTCTCTCCACACAGCTGCCGGGACCCACGGGGGCTGGAGAAGAAAGGGGGTCTCTCCACACAGCTGCCGGGACCCACGGGGGCTGGAGAAGAAAGGGGGTCTCTCCACACAGCTGCCGGGACCCACGGGGGCTGGAGAAGAAAGGGGGTCTCTCCACACAGCTGCCGGGACCCACGGGGGCTGGAGAAGAAAGGGGGTCTCTCCACACAGCTGCCGGGACCCACGGGGGCTGGAGAAGAAAGGGGGTCTCTCCACACAGCTGCCGGGACCCACGGGGGCTGGAGAAGAAAGGGGGTCTCTCCACACAGCTGCCGGGACCCACGGGGGCTGGAGAAGAAAGGGGGTCTCTCCACACAGCTGCCGGGACCCACGGGGGCTGGAGAAGAAAGGGGGTCTCTCCACACAGCTGCCGGGACCCACGGGGGCTGGAGAAGAAAGGGGGTCTCTCCACACAGCTGCCGGGACCCACGGGGGCTGGAGAAGAAAGGGGGTCTCTCCACACAGCTGCCGGGACCCACGGGGGCTGGAGAAGAAAGGGGGTCTCTCCACACAGCTGCCGGGACCCACGGGGGCTGGAGAAGAAAGGGGGTCTCTCCACACAGCTGCCGGGACCCACGGGGGCTGGAGAAGAAAGGGGGTCTCTCCACACAGCTGCCGGGACCCACGGGGGCTGGAGAAGAAAGGGGGTCTCTCCACACAGCTGCCGGGACCCACGGGGGCTGGAGAAGAAAGGGGGTCTCTCCACACAGCTGCCGGGACCCACGGGGGCTGGAGAAGAAAGGGGGTCTCTCCACACAGCTGCCGGGACCCACGGGGGCTGGAGAAGAAAGGGGGTCTCTCGGGCAAGGCTGGATTTACCTGGCTGGAGCCCTCCCGCTACCCTCAAGGCCAGAACTGGCCATCCTTCTAGCAGGGTACGCTTCATTAGCCCAACCTGCCCCTCCCTCCGTTCCTCTTCCGGGGCAGAAAGACACGAGCCCCGCAGCCCAGCCACCATGTCCTCTCCAGAGAACAAACACAGAAAACAAACAGCTGCCCCCCTCCACGCACCTTGTCAAACATGCAGCACTCAGGGAAACTGAGGCACATGCCACAGTCACAGAAAACGTTACAAAATTTCCCACTTCCTCATGTCTGGTCCAGTTTCCCGGGGCGAGGAGTCCCTCAACCCGTCCGTACAGCCACTGCCCTCTGCTCCCAGATGCTTACACTCATGTTCAACCAAATTAAAACCCCATGGTGTTTGTCTGCACCCGGCTTACCCTGTCGGCCGAGACTGCTCGGTGTCACTGACCTGTCACTGAGCGTGCCCCCAATATTTGGGTCATCTGCAAACTTCCCCAGTGATGAATCTCTGTAATCTGTCTAAGCCCTCTGACGCTTGACGGTTCTTTCATGCGAGGGCTGCGTGTGTCCCGAGACAGCCGTTTTCAGGGCAGCTCTCTCGGTGCCCGGAGAGGAAGCCGTCAGTGTCCATCAAACATGAAGCACAAAATCGATGGGGGGAATCATTTTCCTTTCTGGAAAGCCCATGACGCGTATTTATCGACTGCCCGTGGAAGGCGCTGGCGAGAGACCAGGGGAGACGCACGGCGACAAAACAGGCCCAGCTCGTGCAAAGTGAGCATCTCCCGCGGTGATCCAGCACCTCCAGGAGTGGAGACGTTTCCTCGGTTTCCCTGGCCATTTTAAGGAGACGAGGACGATTACCTAGATCTCTCTCTTCCTCAGGTAGCGTACAATGAGCGCTTCCCACTCTTTATGGTGTTTATTCTCACCAGGCCCCCGGGAAGGCGGCTATCCCCATTGCACAGATGGAAAACTGAGGCACCGAGAGGCAAGGGCCCAGATTCTTTTAAAATATTGAAACACACACATCCCCAAGATCACTGAAGTCAATGGAAGTTAAGGACTTATCATAGAATACTAGTTCGTATCCCCACTGGGCATAGTAGTTCTGATATTGTTGGTAATACTGGGTATAATTATAGCTGCACATCTGATTGTATTCCACTGTCTTCATACGGTTAGCTTTGGGCATGGCCACACTCAAGCGTACAGGTTTAGGGCCCAATCCCACAGCTCTGTCAGGGCTCTTTTCTGTTCCAGCTCATCCGTGAATTTCACAAACCCATAACCTTTGGAAACTCCCATCTGGTCCAAAACAACTTTTCCACCTCTACATGATTTAACAGAAACCTCATCTAACATGCCGTCATCCACATCTGGGGTGAGATCTCCCACAAAGAGCGAGTATTCTGGACTGTTATCAGGCTGTTTTCCATACGTTGCGTAGTTCAGTTTAAATCGCATTGCTGGTGTGGCACCAGGAAGTGGGTTTCCATTGATTTTGTGTGAACGCTCCTCTGCAGTAGCCAGATCTGCCAATTCTACAAAGCAACAGCCTGCCGGAATTCCTGTCAATCTATTTCGGATGATTTTTACACTCAGAACAAGTTCTTCCATGGTGGCAAAGGCTCTTGAGACTTAAATACCTTCAAACACCTGAGCCTACCTGACTCGCCCAAGGGCCCCCAAGGCAGACTAGAGGAGGGGCTTGTACCCAGATGCTCCCTGGTGCCCAAGCAGGCGCTCCCAGGAGACTGATGGGCTCTCCGACAGCGGTAACGGCCAGGCACTGTCCTTCGGGGGCGTCCACTTTGCTGAGCTAGTGGTGAATGCACCCAGGTCCTGGCAAACCCCACGAGTCTTTCCATCCCTAAGACGGTGATGATCGGAAGCTTTACAAGACAACAGATTCATTAAACCCCCCCATGTCCGGCTCCTTTCAGCACCCACCCTGCAGTGCGCAGAGCGCCTCTCTTACCGTCTGCTGGCTCAGCTGTTCGGAGAGCACCCGGCTGTCCTCTGCTTGTCCGGGTTTCATTAGTTCTTGCTGGGCGGTGGTCTCCTCGATCCACTGGATCAGCTCTCCATGGCACGCCCGGTAATCCCGCAGCACCTCCTGGATGCCCTCCAGCTCCGAACAGCTGCAAAGAGAGACCCATCGCCGAACTCAAACCACCGCGGGGAAACAAGGGCTCGTGTCCCGCTCCGAGCCGAGGCACCTCGAGAGCCGATGCTTCCCCGGGGGGATTTATGGAAGTGGCACGTACAACCTCTGCGAGACAGGGAACAGCTTAACAGCCAAGCGACAGCCTGTTAAGGGTGGCAACGCCTCCAGCCAGTCGAAAGCCAGAGATCCAGCCTCACATGGGTCTGAAAGGAGCGCCAAAGAATCAGCCTGGCCAAAGTTAGCAGCTGCTATGGGAGCCTGCCGGGGTGGGCAGGGATGTTAAAGCAGGGAAGGGGAGTCAAGAATTAAAAGGATGGAGTTAGAGGAGCGAGTTCGAGAATTAAGTCTTGTATTCAATGGGGCGGGTGTTACCCTGGCTGCGAGCAGAAGTTACAACTGGAAAAATACCACTGACAGTTCCAAATCTGGCACAAGCTTCCATCCCGGGCACAGCCAGCAAAGAATATAAGAACGGTCAGTCTGGGCTAAACCAAAGGTCCGTCTAGCCCAGCATCCTGTCTTCCAACAGTGGCCAATGCCCGGGGCCCCAGAGGGAATGAACAGAACAGGGAATCATCAAGGACTAGGGGTCATCAAGTGAAATGAACAGGCAGCAGGTTTCAAACAAACAAAAGAAAGATTTTCTTCATGCAGCGCACAGTCAACCTGGGGAACTCCTTGCCAGAGGATGTTGTAAAGACTAGGACTTCAACTGGGTTCAAAAAAGACCTCAATAAAATGGGTAGCAATGGTGTCCCTAGCCTCTTTTTGTCTGGAAATGGGTGACAGGAGAGGGATCGTGTGATGATTCCCTGTTTTGTTCTCTCCCTCGGGGGTGCCTGATATTGGCCACTGTCGGCAGACGGGACACTGGGCCGGATGGACCTTTGGTCTGACCCAGTCTGGCCGTTTTATGCAAGTGATCCCTTCCCTGTTGCCCATTCCCAGCTTCTGGCCAAACAGAGGCTAGGGACACCATTCCTATCCCTCCTGGCTAATAGCAATAGATGGACCTAAGGTCCGTTAATTTATCTAGTTCTCTTATGAACCTTGTTATAGTTTTGGTCTTCACCACATCCTCCGGCGAGGAGTTCCACAGGTTGACCGTGTGGTGTGAAGAAAAACTTCCTTTTGTTTGTTTAAAACCTGCAGCCCGTTCATCTCATTTGCTGACCCCTAGTTGCTGTGTTCTGGGAAGGAGTCAATAACTCTTCTTTAGTCCTTTTTCCCACAGCAGTTGTGATTTCATAGCCCTCTGATATTCCCCCCTTAGATGTCTCTTTTCTCAGCTAAAAGCCCCAGTCTGATTAAAGCAGCAAGGACAAGCCGGGAGACCCTCACCGGGTGTCAATCTGAGCGCCAACTCGCTGCCAGCGATCCCACAGCTGCGCTCCCTTCTCCTGGTACCGCTCGAGGTCCAAGCTGTGCTCTTGCTTCAGTCGACACAGCTGCTCTCCCATGGCTTTAGCCTTGGCCACGTCCTCTTCCAACGCAGAGAAGGCAGCGCTCTTGGTCTTCACCTCACTGAGCCATTGCTGTAACAGACAACAAGACCGCGGCGTCCGTATTACTGGAACCAGACAGGTGAGCCACGCTGCTGGCGGGCACGAGCAACATGGCGTTTTCTAGCCCAACGTATGTACAGAACAGCTAAGACAAGACAGATCCATGTCTAGCCCTGTGGCGCTGCAGACCGATGGGTCTATCGCCCCCACTAACTCCGCCATCTGGCTGAATCTAGGACCAGGACATGCAACGTGCAGGGATCCGTAGCCCAGCCAAGAGCAAGTCACAATGGTGCATTCAGCATCACCGAGCTACCCACGTGGGTCTGCCAAGTGTAATTAGCACCAGCCACGCACAAAGGCAGGAGCCACGTCGCCTGCCACGGCAGCCGTTCTGCCTCCAATTCCTGACACAGCAAGGGTCACGTCGACTCAGTGAAAGCCTCCAATCGCTCACCAGCAAGCAGGCGGGCTGGACCACAACGCAAATTCAGTAAGGAACGGAGAAAATCTCATTCCGTGAATGCGAGAGCTCAAGACGCTACAGGTGGGACCTCTCTAGGCCAGAACTCTCTGGTCCAGAAACATCAGGCATCCAGCATGATTTGAGTTGGCTGGACGTCCACTTGTCATGGGTGTGGCCAAGTTTCCCACGGTCCCATTGTGATGTAGTGTCAGGACCTTGCTGGTTGCTGTGCTGGGGCTGAGAGCGACCCCTACTGGCCTTTGTCTAAGCACTGCCCAGTGGAGGGCGCCATGAGGGCCCCCATGACAGTGACCAAACCGGTTCTACTGGTTAAGGGAAGGGATGGAACAAAGGAAGGGAGTGTTAGGGGAGGGGTCAGTTTCTGGCTGAAATGGAGGAGGAGACAGATGAAGGAGGGGGGCTGGGAGTCTAAGGGCCCAGGCACCCCATCTCAAGGGGCATGGAGCATCCTGGCCCTGACTCCTGTAGCCACGTCACGTCTAGGCTGTGCTGTATCCCAACTCGCCATCACACCCATAAAGTGTGTTCACAGCCGCCCATCCTGGCTCTCAGCGTTCTGTGCTGTTATTTGGCTCTAATTTACCCCTCAATGTCCTCTCTGAGCCCAGGAAGCAGTGGGGGTGTTGGTAACGCTGCTAGACACTCCCATGCTCTGGAAAATTCTCCGGTTCGGAACCGGTCAGGTCCCGAGGTTGCCGGACCAGAGAGGTCCAACCTGTCCTAGTTTCTAGTGGACGCATCACATTTCCCACCTGTAACGTAGCTCTGTGAGACTGAATGGCTGTCAGATCGGCAGGTACCGCCTCCTCTTGGCTCAGTTTCACTTCATACCCTTTGACCAGGGACTCTGCTCCTTGGGTGCTCCGCACGATTGCACCCACCGTCTTTAACCTAGAGACAAGGAGGAAACGTGACTTCTAGAACCGAGGTCGCTCTGCACGGTGAGGCCACTGGGGTCGCAAGCAGCGGAGAGGAAGGGGACCGCTCGCTCTGCGTCACACCCAGCATTCACACCCGAGGAGCCGGAAGAAAGGGCCGTAATGAAACCTGGAGTCTCGGGGGGGAAGCCAGAGAACACGAGCCCCCGTATAGGCCCCTGGAATTCTAAAACACCGTCAGTTAAAACGGAAGGGGTAAAACCGAACGGCACGGAGAGGCAGCAGCTAGCGGTCTGGGCTCTAGAATGAGAGACTGGAATACCGGACTGGACCCTGCCTCTAACAGCAACGCTACAGAGTCGCTTATCCCAAGGGTCCCCGTCTCCTCGGGAACAAAGAGTGACTTTGGCACAGCTCTCTGAAAGGGGGAGTGCTACGTAAACGGCAGGCGTGCTAACGGCTTACCTCCCTCGCGGTGCGACCAGGCGGGGCTACTGCCTGCGAAGCACAGACACCGCTGGAACAAGGAATCCGGTGGCACCTTATAGACCAGTGGTCCCCAACCATTTGAAGCTGCCGGGCGCCAGAGGACGGGGACACTCATGCATCTGGGGGCGGGGCCGCACATACACTACAACCCCATAAGCCACGTGCCTGAAACCAGCAACCCTATGCGCCGGGTGGCCACAGGCGGGGCCATTTGCAGCATGCCTGGGGCCAGCGTCCTGCAGAGCTGCGCGGCCAGGGCCAGCACCCCCCTATAGCCGCATGCCCAAAGCTAGCACCTCCCTACCCATAGCTGCATGCCCAGGGGTGGGGATGCCAATTCGCCGTGCGCCCGGGGCCGGCGCCCCTCCATAGCCGCACACCTGGGGCGTGGGCGACCAATTTGCAGCGCTCCCCATGCGCCATGCGCCCGGGGCCAGCTCCGGCACCGCACATGCACCACGCACCCGGGGCAGGGCCAGCCCCGAGCACTTGGCGGGCGCACACAAATGGCCCCATGTGCACCGTGTTGGGGTCCACTGTTATAGGCTAACCATTTTATTAGGGCAGTGAGTTGCAACTCACTTCCTCGGACGCATGAAGGGAAAGCGAAAGGTACAGAGATGGGAGCGTTCCATCAGAGCGCATGCGATCAGGGCGGATGTGGATACAAAGGGGAGGATACCTAAAGTGGAAAATTACTTATTGTAATGAGGGAATGGGAACAACTCTCTCATTACCGTAAGTCATTTTCCACTTTACGTATTGAATTAGCTCTGATGTAATACTCCCATCTCTGGACCCTGTTGTTTCTGCCCCTTCCTGCGTCTGAGGAAGAGAGTCGCAACGCACAAAAGTTTATGCCATAATAGAAGTGTTAGCCTGTAAGATGCCACTGGACTCCGTGTTCGTCTGATTCTGCAAACAACAACAAGGCTACCTCTGAAGCACAGCACGGATCCTACAGGCAAGTGGCTACAGATACTAGATACCAGCTCTAAGGACCACACGTTTTCTAGCCTTCAGTGAATAAGTTGCTTTCGGGAGGTGCCTTGTTACAGTTTGCGCTGCATGTCTTAGGACAAGAAATGCTCCCTTGGCTGTGTCATGCTGAGTCCTACGGCAGTGAGAATGCCGCCACCCCGTCCCATTCGTCGCTGGCCAAAACCGTTCCCCGGGTTCCTCGCACTCCATCATCTGCCTGTCTGTAGCCATCCCTTGTCTCTTATGCCAAGATCGGCAGCGCTTTGTAACCGACGTCGGTTCGGTTTGCACAGAGCCGGGCACAGCATGGCGCGGCCGTGACGACGGCGACTCGGCGGAATCACGATGCAAATCGTAACAGTGGTCACCCCGGGTGGCAGCCTGCTTGTCAATTCTTGGGGGTGCTGATGAGTGTCAGGACACAAGAGGCCCCAGCCCAGCAGGGGACAATAGCAAGGGAGGTTACGTACATTTCCCCCACCCAGCTCTGCCAATCCATCTCAACCCTGACCTGCAGTACCCTTGGGTATGCCAGTCCTGCATCCGCTTCCACCGCCCTCTCCCACCCTGCAGCATACCCCTGCACCGTGCAACGCCCCAGCCCAGACTGAATTAGGGTGAATTTCGCCCGACTGATGGCTTTGTAATAATACGAACCCAGCTCAACTTGCATCATGTCCCAGCAGAACAGTGTATTTGAAACCCAGCTGCCTGGAGCATGGTGTCACCTAAACACTAACACTCAAATTATCCCAGAGCATCATTCGGAGCTCCTGAATATACAGCATCTCTTAGACATTCCTGGGTGCCCTTAAGAAACACTGGAACAACTCTCAGCCTCACCCACTTTTAGGCCAGCTCTACGTGACAGGGGAAGGTCAAATGAAGATACTCAGCTCCAGCGATGTTAATGACAGAGCTGGAGTAGACATAGCTCAGTTCGAGTTTCTGCATGGTCTCCACAGAGGGAGGTCAACAGAAGCAAACACTCCCGTTGGCTTCTCTTACTCCTCGTGAGAGGCAGGAATACCGGTGCTGATGAGAGAAGCCTCTGAGTTCGATTTAGCAGGTCTGTACTAGACCTGCTAAATCCAACTCCGGAAGATAGATCGTGGAGGCAATCAATCTACTGCAGAGTGAAAACATGGCCTTATAGAGGCAGATGTGCAGCACAACTAATTCTGCCCATATAGAATTCTCTCTCAACTCCAGAAAGTTGGCCGTATGCTGACTCACTTGTCCAGGTAGACAGAAGAAAGTCCATACACGTGATCCATCTTCTCTACCAGCAGCTGGAGCTCTGACCGAAGACGTGGAGCACTGGACCCTGTCGGGGACTGGTGTAGGAAGCTCTCACATCTCTCAGCCAGGTGCTGCAAGTCAGACTTTAGCTGCTGCAAATTCGCCTGCATGCGCTGTGGGAGACAGAGAATTCACGTCAGAACACAGCGCAGGCACCCAGGAGAGGGAAGCAAAAGCCAGGCAAAAGGGCAGGAGGCCAGGAGCGCCCGGTGTCCAACATTTCCAGCTGGAAATTCTAACCAGCAGAACCCTTTCCAGTCTAAATGGGGTCTTGGAAGTTCTCCGGATTCCTCCATTTTCTTCTCTCATTTCCCTCAACACACTGGGATGCTCTTAGTCGCAGGGGTCGCGAAGGCCACCTGCATCCAAGGCTCCTGCAGCCATTTCCTGCCACTATTTATCCAGGTTTTAAAAGGGAAGACTTGGGCAGTGGTTGTGGCCAATTTCTTCGTGTGCATTCAGATGTTTCATCAGGCTGCTCGGTGGACTGAGGGGTGGGTCGAGGCTGTAGGACAACACACGTCTTCCTCAGGGGTTTCTGAAGCGAGGAAAAATCATGGCGGGGGGAAGCGGAAAATGCAAATAAAAAAGGGGGAGGGCAGGCAAGAGGACAGAGACGCCATCATTGTCTTTCCGGCCTCAGAGTAAAACGCCCCATCGCACAGCGCGATGCCGGATTGCGGGGGAAGCAGATAAGCAGGAGAGGGAGTACCCCTGAGAACCAACAGTGGCTCCCCCAAACAGTCCCGCCCCCCTGGAAGGACCCACCTCCTGCTCCGCAGTACGGACGGTGTTTTCCTGGATAGCGTCCCCGTCGGCCCTGGCGCTGCTCGGGGACGGGATGCGCCCCACGAGTCTCTGCTCGCACTCCTCCAGGCGCAGACGGATGTTCTTCAGCTCCGACAGAAAGGTCCTGGCAGCCGTCTCGTCTTTGTCCTCTGTCCAGCCACAAACATGCAAACAAAGCCACAGAGGATCAGTTGCTGTTAGGACCGCGGAGGGAAAACAGCTTTGCCCGAGGCCAGTCCCAGGCCAGGAAAGAGCAGCGAGGCCCTAACGTTTAACCACTGGCCGCAAAGCAAGGCCGCTGTGAGCCAGGCCTCCCCGGCGCCATGCGCCAGCGCGGCTGCTCCCCAACAGGTTCGCCCGAGCAGCCCCTTGCAAAGTTCGCACTAAGGAGCTAGCAGCGCGCCTGTAAATCCCTGCCCCCAGCTCACCGCTCTCCCTGGACTCCAGCAGCTGCTGGAAGTGCTCCTTGCTGCTCTTCACGTCCTCCTCCAGGCGCAGGAGTCCCGGCTGTCCTGCAGGAAGTCCTCGTAGTGCGCCTGGAGGCTCCGCAGGGCTTGCTGGCACTCCCCTTGGGCCAGAGAGCGGAGCTGGGGGCGGAATACCAGAGGCTCGAACGACAAGGGACCGCGGCCCACCCGGCTCTCGCCCACAGCAGGAAGGGTCTCTCCTGGCCAGACGCCCGGCAAGGGGATGCTGCTGAGTCCCGGCTGTCCTGCAGGAAGTCCTCGTAGTGCGCCTGGAGGCTCCGCAGGGCTTGCTGGCACTCCCCTTGGGCCAGAGAGCGGAGCTGGGGGCGGAATACCAGAGGCTCGAACGACAAGGGACCGCGGCCCACCCGGCTCTCGCCCACAGCAGGAAGGGTCTCTCCTGGCCAGACGCCCGGCAAGGGGATGCTGCTGCCAAGGCCACCCCCGGAGCCGGACGCAGCCACGTTGCCCCTTCTCGGACAGGGCAGTTCTTTGGGCCGTTCGCGGCATTGCCAGGCCTGGATTCTCTCTCCCCCCACACTTGCCAACAAGCTATATTGCCTGAGCAGAGCTCTCAAGGAAAGGCATGCTGGGGAGTTCACCCTGCCCCGATCTGCCCTCCCCTTCCTCATTCCTCCTCGTCACTAACACGGCGCACTCACCCCGCCCCCCCCCTCGCCAATTACAGCACTGGACCAAAGAGCTGATGCTTCTCACTAGAAGGCTGCACCTTCCTCTCGTTGCCCGGCAACCCCCAAGGCGCCGACTGCCTCGCACCATGCGCCTCAGGCTGGTGCCTCAGTTTCCCTACCTCTTCAGTCGTCTCTTACCATGCGCCTCGTGTTCCCTACCCAGGCGAGGCACCTTGGGCATCGTTGCCAAGTCCAGCCCAGCGGCTGGGCCCACACTTACAGCCAAAGCGAGTCCGTTTGCCGCGTTGCTGGAGGAGACCAGCCTACGCTGCCGGGATACGGACACGTGGATTTGCTGGGGGGTCCTGGGCCATACCTTTTCTACGGTCCAGCCTTGCACCAGGGCAATGTCCTTCCGCAGGTAGTTCCAGGAGATCAGGCTCTTGGTGTTCACATGGAGCTGGTGCCAAAGGGCCATCACCTTCTGGTACAGCTGTTCGACCCTGCGACAGGAGAGCGCGGCTCCGTCACCACCCGCGGCTCCCGCCCAGAGCCGAGCAGGGCTTGGCCCACCTCAGCCTTTCGCCGGCAGTGAGTTCACACAGCCACCCGCTCGCGTCTCACCGAGGAGAGCCAGCGAGGAGACGTGCGGAAAGCCCTGAGCAGCCTCCACTGGGATTCTTACATCTTCCCCATTCACACGGGTTCGCTCCCCACTGGGGAGTCCTACCACCTCCTGCCGGCACCTCCAGTCAGCCAGAAGGGTCACACCAGCTGCTCGTGGGGCGTTAGCCGCAGGGACCGCCGCCAGAGCCCTCTCCGCCGCCAGGCAGGCCCTTGGTGCGGCCAGACCAGGCGACTCCCCCCATTCCCTTTCATTTCGCTCTCGGTGACGTTACGGGCTTAGACCGGGGTGGGCAACAATTTTCGCAGGGGGCCACTTAATGAATTTTTGCTATGTGGTCACAGAAGGGGCGGGGCATGAGGAGGAAGGGGCGGAGCTGGGACTAGCCTCCCCCCAGAGCTGTCTGGGACCAGAGGCTTTGAATTAAACACAGAACAAAGGGCTCCCGACCCTGCCGCTCCCGTGTTGCCTGGCAGCCGCCTGGGCTGGCTGCGGCAACGTGAAAGGCTCACGGCTCTGGCCCACCAGGGTATCGCCATAACCAGGAGCCATTTAAATTGGATCTTGCTGCCTGAGCCACTGCCCAGGAATTAGAAACTAGCAAGCGGCCAGATGCAGTCGGCAGGCTGGATCCAAGTGTGAGGCGGGCTCCATCCGGCCACCGGGCCACGTCTGGCCCAGCCCTGGGCTAGACGCATTCAAATCCCCTCCTCATTAGCCCCAGGACAGAGGACCCACCTGGCCCATGGGCCTCGCCCCAGCTGGCAGGTCCGTTTCCAGACCCACTCAGACTTTGTCCACATGAGCGTTTTGCACTGGTGCCCGCCTCTCGTGAGGAAAAGCTGCACCGTGACTCTGAGCATTGGAAGCTCAGAGAAGCAGCACAAGTCATGACTGACGGCAGTGCAGGCCCGTCTGACACCAGGATCTTGCACTAGTGCAACGAGCTGGACAGTCTTGCACTCTTGGTTTCCCTGCTTATACCAGGATGGTCCGGCCATACCCCGCCCCAGAGAAACCATAGAGAGGTCCTCCATGCAGGCAAGAGTGGCAGTGGAGGAACTAGCCAATCAGGGGCCAGGAAGGCCTACAAAGGGAGCTGCAAAACAGAGCAGCAGTCAGTGCAGGGCAGAGCTCAAAGAGAGCAGACGCCCTGGAGGCACTACCCTCTCCACGTTTGGAGCGAGTGCAGCCCCACTACATACGGTCGCACGGGGGTTGATCACTAACAGCTTCTGTGATGTTGGCTCACTGGGAACTGAAGCCACAAACCCAACAGCCACCTGACTAAGTACTTCTAGAAACACTGAAAGAGCAACGGTCCTGTAGCACTTTATAGACTAGCCAAAATATATAACTCGTATCCTGAGCGTTTGTGGGCACCACTCACTTCTTCAGATGACAAATATGGAGCAAGAGGCACAGACGGTGAATGACAAAGCAGAAAGAGAGAGAAAAGTGGGAGGAGAAAGAAAAGAAAAAAAACTGTCAATGAAAGTCTCCAGGCTAAATATTTTTTCCTTTCTTCCTCCTCCTCCTCTCCCCTCTTTTTCTGCTTTATCATTCAACCTCTGTGCCTCTCGCTCCATATCTGTCATCTGAAGAAGCGGGTCACGGCCACGAACACTCAGGATACTAGTTACAGATTCTGGTTAGTCCCTAAGGTGCTCAAGGACCATTGTTGTTTAAGTTTTTTTTTTTTTTTAGTTACAGACTAACACAGCTCTACCCCTCGGAGACTCTTATGTGCAGCTCACCGAGTCGGGATTTCAGCTCGGGACCAGAAGACTCCATCCCACCATCCCCAACCCTTCGCCGTCATTCGCCACCGCGCCCCGTCGCAGTAACGAGCTAGCCCCCGGTTGCCATTAATATCAGCAACACGAAGCCCCAACTCCCAGCAAGGAGCAGAGGTTCGACATTTCCCCAGCACCGATCGCCCCTAACACGCAGCGAGAGGCATCGCTCGGTCGCCGAGCCCCCAGGAGCAGCAAGCAGCGAATCGCAGGGCGCAGTCACCTGTTGGCAATGTCGATCGCCTCCTTGTTAGGCGGGGGGATGAGGAAGCACACGGATGGCACCATGGCCTCATTGCCGGTCGGGCTGATCACCTTCCATTTGGTCCGCTGGGAATTGTCTTCCAGCACACACTCGTCGTTCCTGCCGATGGTGATCTGCGTGGGCAACACACACAAGGTTGCATCCCGGCCCCTGAGCTCGCAGCGCCTCCGGCTGCGGCCAGATCCCTTTCTGGGCCGGAGGCGTCCAGCCAGCACACAAGGAAGCCGAGCAAACCAGACGTCAATGGCGAATTGCCTCGGGGAGGGGAAAGGAGGAGAAATTCCACGAAGCCCCCGGCAAGTCTTCGGCTACAAGGTATTAAGCGCCCTCCCTTGGGAACGGAGCCTTTGCCTCGGCTGGGTAAGAAGCAGCGATTGCTCCGCCCATAAGAACAGAAGAGCGACCAGACGGGGTCAGGCCAAGGGTCCTGTCTGCCCACAGCGGCCAAGGCCAGGTGCCCCAGAGGGAGGGAACAGAACCGGGAACCATCCAGTGATCCCTCTCCGGTCGCCCCTTCCCAGCTTCTGGCCAACAGAATCTAGCGACGCCATCCCTGCCCACCCTGGCTAACAGCCCTTGATGAACCCAACCTCCATCCCCCTCCCGACGTCGCCGTGGTTTCCCCCCATCAGCCACCGGAGAATCGGTCCAAGTTCCTCTGGGTCCTGCATCCCCCCCGCCGCCCTCTGCACAAGCTCAGATTCTTCTCCTCCCCTCCCGCCAGAGCCCACAGGCTCCGTGCCGGCAGCTCACCTCGATCTGCCGATAGTCGCACACGGCCTTGACCGAGATGGTGCCCTGCAGCACGTGCTCCGGATTTCTTGGCTTTAGCTGAACGATGGTTTTGGACCGGCCCACCAAGCTGGCAACGGCGCTCTTCGACTGAATGAGCTGTTCCTTTTCGTCCTGGCGGGAATGAAAGCAACGCGCTGCTAGCGGAGGACCAGAAACCCTCCGGAAGTTGCAATATCCCTCCCTCGCTCCCCGACAGGTCTTCCAGGGCTGGGCTCGCAAGGGCTGACTGGAGATGCCAAGCGAGTGCCTCTCCTCCCAGCTGTGGGGAAGACACCCCAAATCAGGGCTAGACCCTTTCCTTCCATGTTTGGGCCATTCCAGACAACCCGCCCAGCCGCTTGCAGATCAGGAATGTCTTTTGCTGCTAGAGACGAGAAAAGAACAATCGTCTAAACAACGTAAATCAGAATGTGCCTAGAACAGTGACCACGGGACGTGCCTTCCCTGGGGGGGGGGGGGATTTCATTTCTGCCACTTTGGGAAGGCTGCAGAACGCTGTTCCAGCCCTCGCTCTTACAAAGCCAAGAACATCACCATGTTTAAAAAACACGCAGGACGTGGGTGTACAGAATCAAAGAGATAAAACCACCCAGAGAGACGGCTCAGAAATCTCTCTTCAGCAAAGAGACTTCCTTCCACGGGAGGGTGGGGAAGCCATGGAAGCTCTTGGGTATTTGGATAGAGATTGGATCCCGGGAGTAAACGGTATTGCACAATTGGTTTCCGTCAGTCCCTACTGGCCCTGTACACTCAGACGGCAGTGGTTTTCCATGTGCAGAGCACCCCCGCACCAATCTGCAGCCACTGCGAGGGAGAAGTGTGGGTCTCAATACATAAATCACAGCCTGAATAATTCACTCCAGCTCGGCCCACTTGGACTGAGGAAATTTGCCAACAGAGAACTTCAGCATTCGTGCGTTTCGCTCCGAGCCATTCGAGAGTCGATTAGGGCACTAGGAAGGGGGAACCGGTCTCAGTTATTGAAGGGTTAAAAAAAAAAAAAGAAGAAGTGCTTAAATGAACTACCTGTGCCTGTCCCTGGGAGCATGAGTGGAAGAAACACAACTTTAACTCCTTCATTACCAAAGAATAACCGCGTGTGCCAGGGAGATGGCTGGGCCGTACCACTCCTGAGACCTGGGCTACTTTTCAAAACACGGAGCGAACCACGATGCCACCACAGTCATAGCGTGCCACCTCTGAGCACTTGTGGCCACAGCGCTAAGAACCTGCAGCGGCTCCGTGGGCGGAGGGCTTGAGAGCACAGACCTGGGCTCCACAGAGCCTGGGAGCAGGGACCGAGCCACAGGCACCCTGGAGAAGACAGGACAAGGAGTCCGGAAGATTTAGCCTGCCTGGCTGCCCAGTACCAGCACCCACGTTCTCCCTGCAGCACCTCTGGGACCCAAAGAACTCCATACGGGGGCGACTGCACACGGCAACCAGACTGCCTGCATCTGAGTTGGTTAGTATTTAAGCCAGGGGTTTAAAGGCCCTGCCTGGATCCAGGCCCCGAGGTTTGGGGCTCCCCCCAACACTGGGGAGCCGGCACTGGTGCTCCAGCCCCTCCCGCCCCCGTTTGTCCCTGCAGGGCTGGAGCACACAAAATCTACTTGCCTGGGCCCCCCAGATCTCTGGCGTGGGAGGGGAACGTGGGGAGCGTCTTTCCCCTGCTCAGTCGGGGGCCACGGCCGGGAGGGGGGGTTTGTTTGGGGGTTTTTATACTTCTCACTTGTGTGCAGCCCCCGACTGGCTTTTCTGTGGGTCAGCGCCTCCCCCCAGCCCCCCGCAAAAAAGATTCCCCAGATCCTGATTTAGTCCAATCTGAAGTACGGAGCAGGTGTAGAAACGCTAAGATTTAAAAGGGTTTGATTAGCATCTGGCCACTAACCTTTCGTACTGGATTAACAGTGAAATGCCTGGGCAAGCCCCCCTCATCCTCTTTAATTAGCATCTGGCTGCTAACCTTTCGTATTGGATTAAGAGTGAAATGCCTGGGCAAGCCCCCCTCATCCTTAGAGGTGCCAATTCAGTAGCTGGTTTCTTAAAAAGCCAGTTTGCACGGAGCAGTTATAAAGTTCTCCAACTGTCTGGGCTGCTCTTTCTTATTCCGGCTGCATCAGGGCACGCAATCTGAAGACTAGCCTGTCAACGTTCAGCCCTCTGCCACCGCCTTGTCTACTGAACACGGGCATACGGGGTTACCCCTACGCTCCCTGCTCTGTATCATCCGCCGCCCCGGAGAACCGGCATGACAGGCTCGGGAGAGATCGGATCTGGATGAAGAGGGGGCTTTCCCTCCAGCCGGCCCTGCTCTTAAAACAGCATCCATCGAAATAGCCAAATGGACGCCGCCTTCAGCTGCATTTGACCGGATCCGAGTAACCGTCTCGGACAGCAAAACTCAGCCGTCCCCACGTTTCTACACGCAAATACAGCGTGGGACATGGTGAAGACTCAATTCTGGACTTGATTTTGATGTGGTAGGAAAGGTCTCTAGCCAGCCTCCCTTCAGGCAAGGGTCAAGCACAGAGCGCGCCTGCAAGAATCGGTTGTGGCCGTCACCGAGATTCCCTTACGGAATTAAAATCCAACACTGTGTCGACAGTGTCAAATCAACAGTTCAAAAGACACAATGAAAACCCCCCACACGCTCGAAATGCAAAGACTGGCTTAACCCGGGAAGAACGTTCAACTCCACTGGGCTGGTGGCAGGAACACACGCCCCACCCCCATTTTCCCTGGTAAAGCAAAAGCCCCCGAGCGGCGCTGCTGCCCAGTGTAGCACGCCGAGAGGCCACGGGGATGGGCGTCCACACAACACCCACCATGGAATCCTGGAGCAGATCCTCCAGGCGGGTCAGGCTGGTGTTCTGGTCGCAGGAATACTTCCACCGGATGGAGTCCTGCAGGTTCCGCAGGTAGGTCTCCGACTCCCGGGCGTCGCTGAAGAACTGCAAAGGCACACGGCATTACAGGAAGCCGTACGGCACCACACCCCAGAGGCAGCATCGAAAGGAACCTCCCCCCCCTGCCCTCAGCCACCTCTGCAGGCAAGTTCCTTCAGCACTTTTCTTTGTGCTGCTGGAGCTGGACACAGGGTCAGGGCTCGCAGGAGAAATCAGGTGCCACCCTAGAAAATGCGTAAGAGCCCATGGAACCAGGCGAAGGGGAAGCAAACAAACAGAAAGCCACCTCCGAAGTCCTTGATGTAAAGCCGTGTTCTGGGCCAAGCCGCCCCTGCCCTGCAAGAGCACCGTGTGGCGTCCGAACAGCTGATGCTACACCAGGGCCACGGTGCAGGCCTGGATCTCTGGACCGCAGGTCAGGGCCAGAAATGCAGATTGCCCCTCCCGCCGTACCTGGAAGTAAGCAGCGTTCTCCTTCACGTGCTGCTCGACACACAAGCAGAGCTGTTTGATCCACTGCCACTGGGACTGGACGGCAGCACTGTATGCCTGGGACAGAGACAATCAAGTAACCGGGTGGTTCCACGGTTCTAGGCGGGGACACAGTCAGCTCCCTGGGAGCCGGTGCCTTGCGCTGCTCCCTCCGATACAGAGGCAACAGCGGTGGGATTGTGGTCAATTTTTTTTCAATCCACGTGCGGAATAAAGTTTGCTCTGTGCGCAGAGACATGTACAGATGTGCACCACCCGTAGACACACGCGCTCTGCTAATCCGCTGGGCAGCGCCTGAATCTCTCCTGGGTGGCTGCCCAAGTGCTCATCATACAGGGAACCTTAGGGTGGGAGAGAGGGAGGCTTCTCCCCAGGAGCCGGCTGTTAATCCAGCTCCCTGTGCATTCTGGGAGCCTGCGTGTAACCGTGAAGGTTAACCGAGGCGCCTGGTACCCGGTGACGCTCCCACATCCCTAGCTCACAGACGGGCGGACGGTAACGAGAGGCAGCGGGAAACCATGAACGCCCAGGCGGCCCCTCCCACGGGCTGTCTGCCCCGCCGCGCCGCGGAACTGGTGGGCGCCGCTCGCCCGTCAGCCAGACCCTGCCCTTTGCTCCAGCAGCCTCGTCAGCAAGCGTCACCCCACGTGAGCTGAAGGCCAGCGGCTCTTATCTTGCCACAGGACCTTGGGCACGGGCCCTGCGCACACAACCCTTTATCCTCCTTCCCTTGCCAAGGGCACGGTGCAGAAACGGCCCCACGCCTCCCCCTCCTACGCACCATAACGTGGCCCCCGCCCCAGGGCTGGGTGGGAAAGGCCTCAGCCTGCGGGCCCTGCCTGCGATGGGTTACCTCTACGGTCTGCTTGGCCGGGTGGTTCTCCAAGGACAGCAGCTCGGCTGTATCCTGCAGAGACCGGAACGCGTCCTGCTTCTCTTCCAGTTCCATCGTCAGCTCCTGAGCAGGCGTGCCTGCGATGGGTTACCTCTACGGTCTGCTTGGCCGGGTGGTTCTCCAAGGACAGCAGCTCGGCTGTATCCTGCAGAGACCGGAACGCGTCCTGCTTCTCTTCCAGTTCCATCGTCAGCTCCTGAGCAGGCGCAAGCAACAGGCTCCGGTCAAAGCCAGGCGGGCCGGCCTGCTGGGCACCCGGCGCTGAGCGGGGTCGGGAACGGCGCCCAGCCCTCCCCCAGGTCCCAGCATGTTGGCAGGGCCGCCCTTAGGTGTCTGCAGAGTACACGGCTGCCCAGG